TACCACATTAGTCTTCTGTGGTAACCATTTCCTTAAATTTGTTTTACTGCATCAGTTTCAGAGAGCACAAGTCAAAGATAGAGTGCAAATCAAGTCTAAGATCATCAGAAGTTTCTACTTAGTCCACCGTCTTAAGTCTCTGGATTTCAGAGCTGCTTCATCTAATTCCAAGTCCCTGATACCAAGTCATTTGGTCATTAGTATCAGAACAGAGAGCAAAGAAATCTAATGATTGGCAGAAATTGCAGGCTTTATGCAAGTTTGCAAAACTAGCCTGATTTTGATGTTCAAGGTTCAATCATGAGTGGAGAATTATAATAATTATCCAGATATTTAATTTGTCTTAAAGTGAATCTTCATTTTTTTCTGTGCCAACTTCTTCTACTTATGTCTTTGATTCATATATCACAACAGCTTAGGTAAGCAATTTTAACCAAAATTTCTAAGATAGTTGCTTTTAGTTTTCAGGGGAAGCTGGAGAGTTTGCAGAAAGCCTCAGCAGTAAATAATCTCAGTCTTTAATTTTTAAATATTCTGTATATTCTCTGATCTGCTGCGTGGTCAGTTGGCTAAATAACTAACGGGCAAGAGAATTAATGTGGTGGCCAAAGCCTACTACTGTATTTAAATCTCCTAGACATTCAGACTGTTTGAAAATGATGCCAGTGCAACTACCACTAGACAGAAGAAACTATGTGCATCTCTGGAGGTGGACTTTGATAGGGAGTCTCAGGTTACACTCAAACCTCAAGGGAAATCACTGAACAGCCCACAGGACCGGTGATTTTTGCTCCATACCCTGCCAAAACTCTTACATCTGAGATGAGATATCTCTTTGTTAAAATATGGCTTTTGTTTAGGTTATCTGCAATAAGAAAAGTAGTATCTTCGTTTCTATGTCAGGTCTTAGAATGTGAGAAATATTTCACACACAGGCCCCTCCCTGAGTAGTAAGGTATCAGTTTGTTTCATTGTGTTGATAGACTAAAGGGGATGAACTCGACTGAGCTTTATCCTTTTTAAAAAATATTGTCAATTGATAAGTTGTGGGAAAGTAAATTTACTGAAGCTACAGGGAAGGTCAGCACAGTTGCCTTCAGGCAATTGTGACCACTGGCCCACTTGAACCATGACAGTACTTTTTCTTTTCTTTCCCCCCTCATGATTGAATGGGCTTGGCACACTGACATTTCTATTAATTGGAAGAAGTTTCTGGCTGTCACTGAAGAACATATCAACAACTAAGATCTAGGCTCTCATACCTTAAAAGGTTTCTATCTGATGTTATTGTGTATAGGGAGGGGAATAGGGCGGGAAGGAAACAGCATATTGTTTGCTTGTGTGGCCCCTTCAGCAAGAAATGAAGTGGTAAGAATCAGGAAGCAGATGGTCCAAGGACAGGCAGTGGGGCAGAGGCAACAGACAGACAAGACGGTCATGGGTCCATGGAACACATTCCTAAGTTAGTACAACTGTCGCAGTTAAGACAGAGGTGCTGGTCTAACAGACTGGAACATTAGTCTGCTGAGCAACACACCCAAGTCTCCACAGAGTAGCATTTTTTATTGCAGTATGACTTTCGTGGGAAATAAACAAAAGTTTAAATAAATCACAATTACTTATTGCTTAGTATTTTGGATAATAAATTCTTTAGTTTATCAGTACCTCACGGCCTTCAAATGTGCATTCTTCAAATAGTTTCAATTACATATACATTCTTTCTCCTGAACAATAAATTATTTTAAGAAAGGAAAAGGTACATAATTTTAAAGCAAAGAAAAACAAAAACATATATTTTTGACATTTATCTTAAACTTATATGAAAACAATTCTCTCTGTTAGACGTTTAAATATAAATAATAAAGGACATTATGTTATTTACAATGTTACACAGTAAGCTGAGAGTAAAAACTGACATTAACTCATAAAGACAGTAAATGATTGAAGAAAACATCCACGTAATGTACAATATGTATTTACAAAAGAATCTATAATAGAATGTGTGATATGTGGCTATTTCCTTTTGTCTGCAGTCTCCGTAGTGTCTCATGCATCTTGGTGGATAAAAATGTCTTTGGCTGGTGGGAGGCAGCCAGTACTCAAAGATAAGACTAGGCTTTCTGTTTTTACCAATGTGAGCCAAGCACCCTTCAACTCCAGGCCAAAAAACGGAACAGTTACCGAGCAAGTTACCCTGGGTCAATCCATCTGCATCATGACAGTCACAATAACGCAAGAAAAGGTGGCATATTGCTGTTTGGGATACTTTCACCTACACAGAGTACTATTTTGTGGGAAGCAGAAGGCTGTCCACCAGAAGTCTTGGGGAAAAAAAAGATATAAGGAAAGCAGGATTGAAAACTTAATCTCGAGGAAGAAAAAAGGTGCTTTGCACATAGTATGCTCCACTGGATACTCTCCATGGGCTATGATTCCAGATCCGGGAAACAAAGTTGCTGTCAAACTTTCTGGCAATTTCCACTACCTCAAAAACCAAGACAGCTTTCCATATGCTGGGAATATGGGTTTATACTCCTTTGTTTGCCACTGCACCACCTGGATTTATAATTAGGGATGCTTGTGGGCAACGCGACAACAAAGCAGCACAGAGATGTTCCTGTGAACACACATTTGGTGACTGCTACAGGGAGCCCTGAGCATCCAGCTGGCCTTTCTGATTAAGAGAAACTCTTGCTCTGCCAGTGGAAAGGCTGCCGCAACTAATAGGCCACATCTATGAGTGATCAGAAGCAGGTTGGAAACAAAATTTCTTATCTATTTGAAATTTGAAAATTTATAGCAATTTTCATACCAAGGAAGATGTCCCTCATCAGAAGAGCCTACTTCTTCCTGAAATTTTTCATAATGGGTCCACTGAATACCCCAAATGCCCAAAGAAATTGAAACAGAACGTTTGGGGTTTTAAAATAATGATAGGAATCTCTTTATTGAAATATTGAAGAATGAGTCAAGGCCTCCAAAGGCAAGGTGAAAATAATTTAGAGAGCCTCTTCAAACTGATGGGTCTTCCTCCCCATGTAGAAATGAGCTGACTCATCTCTACACAACTGGAAAATCAGTGCAAACTGAAGGGGTTCCTCTGTGTAGGTCATAAAGCAAACCAGGACAATATTGAGCACAGAGAAAGTGGCATGTGAACAATGACGAAAAGATAGGGATACCAAACGCTAACAGTAACATCAAGGACCTCCAGATGAGCCTCTCAGTAGACTGGAGAAACAGGAAACACAGTAGCAGTGCAAAGACTTTGACTCAGGCTCAGTCTACATTTTTCTTCTCAGACCAACTTGCTTGTCCTTTCTTCCCTTTGATTTGTAAAAATAAAGATTTGGTGAAGAAATACATTCAGTTCACTTGCAAACAGGAAGCAATTACTCTCCTTGACTCTGTGCACCCCCTGCCAGCCTGTTTCTCATTTTTGTTCCACGGCTCCTACGAGGCCATTTGGAACACAGGCCAAGCTCTAGCCTTGGTTTGACAGCTATCAGGCAGGCACCAAAGGGGTTCTGCATTATAACTTTTTTCTTCTTTTCCTTAGATTTGCAAATATTTCAAATGTTAATACCTATAGGCCTTCATGGGATTTACAACCACAAGAGAACATGCAAAATTTAGACCAATCTTAGTCCTGCTTTTGGGACAACAAAGCAAAAATTCAGAAAGGGAAAAATGGGTGATACAGGCTGTAAATGGAGAGATCAGCCTACAGATGGGGGTCACTTCGACAAGTAAAGTGCAACCTTTCCAACACTATTGACCTTTCCTGATGAGTTACCACTTGTGGAAGGTTCTCACTAATAACAAATCACATGCACGTTGGCCATTCCTGACAAAAGATGTCCATGCAAAGTTATGACCTAATCAAGGCAGTGTTGAAAAAGGAAAGAAACAGAATGGAGAGAAAGGCGTGGTCAACCAAACTTTAAAATGTCAACCCAGTTACTCAGCTGCTCTCCACCTGTGCCTTCTAAACACTCAGCAATGAAACCAAATTCCAATGATCAGTCTCCACTACATACAACAGGCACACTTAACTCCAGAAGAGTTTCAGGCAGACTGATGAGTGTACTGTTCGCACTGGGCTTTTGGGGCCAGGATCTGTCTCTTTTGGAGCTAAGACACAACCAATCAGTAGTTCCTGAATCAGTGGAAGATACAAGTCAGAAATGATTGCACCGTTATCAGTTGTGGTCTGTAGTTCAAAGAAATGAGCTGCTGGGTCATTTCCCCAACACAGAAAGTAAGACTGAGTCCTCTTCTAAGTTTTTAGATTTAACCTAATAGCAGGCCAGAACCCATTTGCTAAGCTATGCCTAAAACTGCTGCTTTTTGTCAAGAAAAATAAATTAAAATAAAGTAAGTGGTAGCTTCTTTTAGCAAGAGCAAGCTGTCTTCTGATTAATAATATAGTTTTTTTTTTAAATCACAGTATTACTTTCTTCCTAATATTTAACATTACTTAATGCAGTTTCCTGCTGTATTTAATAGTAGCATGCTGTTGGATCTACTATTATCTCAGAGCCCAATGAAGCAAACCTTTGGCTGACAGAGTAAACAGAACTCATTTCATATTCTGAAAGCAAAGAAAACTTCATACAAAAGAGAAGAGTACTTGGATGGATGTGCCATTACAAGACATACTGATTGTGTGCTACTACAAGCAAACCGAAGGACAGTGGCAAGTCTTGCACATCATACATCCAGTCAACATCAGAATGCAATGCACGAGAAGCCAGCAAAAACTAAATACATGGAAAGTTTTGCTGAAATACTGTGGAAAAGCAATCACTGTAACTGTACAAAACTTGCTCTCGACATAACATAACATAAAGGCACCATTGATATCTTTCTCGTTTTGAAATACTGTAAAAAATTGCTACATATGGCACATAACACATTTTTACATACATATATTTAATTTATAAAAGTTTTTCCTGTTTTCTATTTGCAGAACTGCTAAAATAAAATAAATTGTTTAATTTAAGGTGGAATACTTTATTATATAAAATAAAGTTTTACAGGTGAATCTATGTGTTTATTTAAGTTTTATACAGCAATAGGGTCTTGGTTAGCAATTACACTAGACAGCCTGGCCTGTAATTCTTCCTGTGTCGAGAAGCGGCCTGCTGGGTTAGTCCTGCTGTCAGACAAGCGGAAGGCAGGTGCTGCCTCGAGACTGGCTGCCAGGGGGTTCTGTATACCCAGGAAAGGTGTGTCTTCACCTACTCGTTCGTCTTCTGTTTCACTCTCTGAGTTACTGTTCTCAGAGCTTGTATTGCTGTCCAATTCCAACCTGTTGGCAATGTGGCCATTGGGCTTGGTTCTTTTGGCCCGCCGGCTATTGGCGAGTTTCTTAACAGGCTCTTGAGCTGGTTCATACTCCTGGGTGGTCTCATACTCCTCATCCTCCACTATCCTCAAGGGACTAGCGGGGAGGCTGTTACTCTCATGGGCAGGGTTGTGATGGAAGTTACTGAACTGCTGAGGGTGATGATCGTACTTCTTCTCCCGCAGCTTCGGTGGTGTCACAAGAAGGAGAGGTCGCTCTTCTTCCACAAAGGGGCTGACTGCCATGGAGGGCATGGACACCGTCATGCTCGACGCAGGCGGAGACATTTCCGAAGGGGGTGATTTGGGGGAGCTTGGCGTGTGGAAATCTACAGGTGACATACGAGCCGGGGTGGTCATGGCTGACACATACCTGTGTGAGCACAGAATACCCCGCATAAGTGTGGTCGAAGAAGAGGCATACAGTAGGGAGGATAAGGGCACAGAGTTCATGATATGATATCATCAGAGAACAATACTCACTTATACATCTCAATTTTTACAACTAGAAAATTCAGTACCCTTGGGATCTAAAATTATGTAGCCAAGATCTTCCTTGCAGGAGAACATGCAAAGATCTAGCTCAACAAAGCTTTGGGGATTTCCAATCTCATCATGAGTTTAAATAAAAGCACACGAGCCAAGAAAAAGGGGCACTGGGTCCTGGAAATCTCTCAAGTTAGAAAGACTGAGGCTCAGGGAATTGGAAGGGAAAGAAGTATTACTTAAATACTATACCTTCCTAAAAGGCCAAAGGGTCTTAGAGAATGAAGCCCAAATGGGGAATGGAAGAAGATCTAAGATGAGTTGCTGAGAGCTGGATCTGCATGCATTTGGATCTGTGTGCCTTGTCTCTCCTTAGCTCAGCTATAGGGTTATGTCTTTTGAAAAAAAAAAAAAAAAAAAAAAAAAAAGAGCACAGTAACTCAGATTTATTCCTGGTAGCAATGTAACACAATTTGTGTGTTTTTAATTTTTTCCATGAAACACTACTACCCATCCCAGGGTGCAAGACAGTCAAAGGTCAGCTACGGAGAACCTTGTGTTAGGGGGATAGTTACTAGAATGGAGACTATGTCCAGTATGCAGTCCACCTCTGTTCCAAACCTACCATCAGTCTTTGGTGTATGCAAAGGTCAGGTGAACTGTCTGGCAATCTTTTGTGACTGTGCTGGGACTGACTGTACCATGACATGATACCCTAGGTCATGCTACATCTGATAATGCTTATTGAATCTCACTGTCGGGACAGAGTGCACTGCTTTTACCATACCATGCTTTCTTCCACCACAATAAGAGGGTTTGAATTTTGGCACTGAAGAAAATGAGTCACACTTCGCAGTTTTTGATAAAAACGTTACTGATGCATAACACTAGGTGACTCTTTTCTTCACACTGACATTCACAGCATCTAATTCGGTGTGACCTGTGATGACAGGTCACCACTGTACGAACTCTAGCTAACAGGAACCGGAGACCTACTAACTTTCCTGCTTTTCTGTGATTCATACTAATATGGATGTGTGATCCAGCAGTGTCTAAAACAGGAAAGTCTTGGGAGTCTGAAATATTTGGGGCTTGAGTCTGCAGGCTTTTTGTGTTGGGGGTACTTAAATGAAGTCTTATGTGAAAGAGGAGTCTAAATTCAGCCAACACACACAAGTGATTCATCTTTTCTCCCCATGACCTTTAAATTTAGGTATATTTTGTAGTCCTACAAGTATGTGGGACAGGTAAGGAAGCCTACCCCAGTAGGGACATGTCAACCTTTCAAAGATCCACATCTCAGGGAGCGATGAAGAAAGATTTTGTCCCTAAGCTCTTTTTCAGGTTTCAAAAATATTTAAATAAGATAGACAGACTTTGTAATACATAAAGATAAAATTACAAGACTTTAGGACGAATGTTTTAGGCTAGCTTTGGATCCTGACTGCTTTTTCACAAATGGGTGGCTGGGAGCATTCTAACCCTATAAATTCCATACAGTACTAAAATGCCATTTTTAGGAAAAGGTGTTGAAGGCTATACGTGACATATAAGCTTAAAATGGGCCACTCTTGATCCTGAGAATCTCCAAGTCCATAAGTAGAGTCTTTCAAAATCATCTGCAACCAAATAACTACCAAATAAATGTGGATTTGGCATTACATGAACCTTATGTAGTAAAAGATTAGACTGAGATGACAGTACAACAAAATAAAACCAGTGGATTAGAAAACAAAGAGGTAATAACTTATAGGTGGTTCAAGACAGCCAATTGGGAATAACTACCTTCCAATACAGGTGCAAACGCATAAGAGAGAATCTATGAATGCAATGTTCCTGTTAAAGATCTCTTGGAGGTTAATTGCCTCCATTCATTTTACCTTTGCTGTTATTCCCACAACCCAACCCAATCTCCCCAGAAGAAAGCTCAAGCATCTGGAAGAAAGGGCCATGTTGAAAACGTGTCTGCTTTGAAAACCATCTGTGAAGACTGCCAGATATGGGACACAAGAGATTTATTTATTTATCCCTCCTTAGAATGTTGTAAAAGGGATACTATGCGGTGGAACACCAGCAGTTGGTCCCCCAGGACTGTCAGCAGTAACACAGCCCTTAATTTGGTTTAAGTCTGGAAGGTAAGAAAGAGTTAACACATGAGAACACAAGGCAGCTCGACCCCCAAATTAAGGTTTGGGTAAGTGGCAGATTAGAATTAGAGAAGGAAGGTCCTTATCAAGCATTGGTGCCATCTGTCTAAGGTGACAACAGAGGAAACAGAGACCCGGAAGGGGTCAGAGACTATGGTCAGGTCTGGGAACTCCAAGTCTGCTGCACCTTCCACATCAAAGCACTCCAGCTCTTTAAGAGTCTGTTGCCTGTCAGCCAATGGGACGACGTGAGTAGCTCAGAAGAAATGAGTTCAGTCAAACCAAAAGATGACTTCATCAACTAGAAGCACTCCTAGAACAGGAAACTGCCACCCCGATTCTGATCAGGCGGACTTCCTTAGGTGAGACTGCAGGTGCCCACAGGATTCTGTTACTGAGGTTCCTCGGCAGTAGCTTTGCCCTTCAGTTTTACCTTTCGCTATGAGGAGAGTCTCGGTAGGAGTCAGGGGTTTCTCTGGCATGCCTGAGGAAGCTGTTACATTCGCGGGGGCCACCCAGGCCATTAAGACGTCCTCTTGGGCCCCCACTGGGGCTGCTGTGTCTACTGTTTTCTACTGATGACATCACAATTACAGAGTGGCTTTCCGAAAGAATGCTTTCCGTATGCCCATTGCTCCAGCTAGAAGGGAGGAGATGTGAGAGGCTGTGAGATTTTTATTTTCATTATATACAAAAATGGAAATGAAAGGAAGCAGGTCTGACAAATACTGTATTTCAAGTTACTGGTTCACCAGTGGCTTGCTACAACGTTAGTTAAGAACAGAATTGTTACAAACATTCTTGCCTATAAAGAAGATTGGCTTTGTGAGCATACAATTTATGTACTTGTTCACTCATTCAATATTACTTATCAAATGTCACTAGGTATTAAGTATTCTTGCAGATCTAGGGCAGACTTCCAGGTGAAACAATTCCATGAGTACAGACATGAATAAAGAAAATCTCTAGAATGAGGAACAGCAATTCTGCAAGGGAGGCACCATCCTTTTTCTAGGGTGTGGAGGTTCAGATACACAGCAATAAGTGCAGACTGCACTGATACCCAAAGTCTATTTATGTCCAAGGACTGTACAATTTTTTGCCTCCTACACATCTTTCTTTCTTTTTCTTCCTTTCTTTCTTTTTCTTCCTTTCTTTCTTTTTCTTTCTTTCTTTCTTTCTTTCTTTCTTTCTTTCTTTCTTTCTTTCTTTCTTTCTTTCTTAGGCAGTGGCAGTGAAGGGAATTATGCAAAAAAATAATTCTTAGAGAAACCATGCTATGAAATTTAAAAATTCTCATACCTGTGACTAGGAGTCTGGGTGACAGTAGTGGAGTGATGAGTGGTTGAGGTATAATGACTGGTAGAAAAAGATGTCTCTGCTTCTCTCTCAACAATATGCTCACTAGAGATGACATTTTTAGACACGTATTGCTGGATAAACAAAGAGACACGACTTGAAGATTCATGTATCTCAAAATACTAATACTGTACACATGCAAATCTGTTCTTTATACATTCTTCATAACAACTTCCATTTCTCCAGTGGTCAGATGGAAAATAATCTTTTGGCTACTCTTTGAGATTAAATGAATGGAATTAATGAACTACTGTTTGTAAGTGTACATAATATAGATTCTAAAATCATAACTCCATTCGATCAGAAAAAGACCTCATTCATCTGTCCCATTTCCAATTGATAACATGACTAGAACTCAGAACAAACTCTGTACAATATTCACTATTTGTCAGGGTTGCTGTAAGTAAAAGGCTAACAGATACTTGAGTGAAACACAAGCACAGACATATCTTGTCTTACATCAACTTTCAAGCCATTAGAAAGACTTTTAAGTATCTATATTTTGAATCTACCTTTCTTTCTCAATTTCATAGTATCCATGTTACCTTTATGATGTCATTGAAATTTTTAACTTATTGTCAGTGGTAAGACTAACAAAGCTATTTCAGAATTTAAAGGGCTTACCATAATTGTCAAGATAACATATCTTGACAAAGCACTTAATATACCTGAGGCCTTATGTTTACTGCAATTAAACTCCATTTTATTTCTATCAGCAAACTACAGTAGCTGTCATTGCCTTTTATCAGTGAGAAGTTGTATTTTTAAAAGTTGTTTTTCAAGTTGTGTTTCAAACGCCATTAGTTAAATTGAGTTAAATAACAGAAAAAGAAATAGAAAGGAATATTCTTTGATGAATCAGAAAATTTATAGTCTGGTAAATCCTAGAGTTTAAAGAACTGGGTATCTTCATGGAAGTCCTGAAATACACAAGTTGACTTATGCTTGAAACTCTAGCCAGTTCTGTTAATGCAAGACTATTCCACATAGATCTTCCTGGGATGTATAGCCAGCTTGCTTTAAGGAAAAGACACACTGACCTTTGGTCAATGTACATTCTACTCCTGTTTCTGGGGAGGCGGGGCAGCTTAAGCTCAGTGAACCTAATGAAAGTGGTATTTAACAATTATTGAACACTCACTCAGTGTCACTGGACTAAGTGTTTCATATAGATTTTTGTATTTAATGCTTACGAGGAGTCTTTGAAATAGGCTATTTTCACAAGGAAATGTGGTTGAAAAAAGGTTATAGCTTAAAGTCACACTATTTGAGTCATAACTGAAATCCAGGCAGTCACGGTAATGTGACTCATATAGCATACATAGAGAGGGATCATTGTGTTGATGCAGTTATCAGTCTTCAGAATGTTCTGATGAATATGGTTGGGGGAGGGAGGAAACAGAGTGTGTTAACCTATTAGCATCCGGCTCTAACAGTCTCCTTAAGGTCTTTGCCACAAAAGCTGGTGGCAGTTTAGTAACTGCCAACTCCAGACTGGAGTCTACGAATATATCTGTTCCACTCAGACTATATCTTTTCCTACTGTACTGCAGAAGGTGCTACTGTAATACAAACTTCAAATTTTGTCTATTAAAAACACTGTACATCGGGGCTGGTGATTTAGCTCAGCGGCAAAGCACCTGCCTGGCAAGCGCAAGGTCGTGAGTTTGGTTCCCGGTACTGGAGAAAAACCAAAGACCAAAAAAAAAAAAAAAACAAACCAAAAACACTGTACATCTGAAGGACATGAAAAAAGACAGCAGAACAAAACAAGAAATATTATGCTGGAAGACAAGGAACAATACTTCCACAGCTAAGAGATCTGTGTATAGCTCTGGCTCTTATCTATAAAAAAAAGTTTGGCAGATTATATGTAAACAGTTTCCAGAGTTGAATAGTCTATGATCCCTGCTAAATTTAAAGCCAAGTTCTTGTTCAAGTATAAACAAAATATTTGCATGATTACATCTGGAGGGCTTGACATCACAGAGAAGGATCCAGTGATTTAGCAAGCATTACACTCTCCTAGCTTTGCTACCAAGACACATGTTTGATAAGTCACTTCCTGGGATGTATAGCCAGCTTGCTTTAAGGAAAAGACACACTGACCTTTGGTCAATGTACATTCTACTCCTGTTTCTGGGGAGGCGGGGCAGCTTAAGCTCACCTCTCCATGCCCTGATTCCTCTCTTTGGAAATCAGAATTAGCAAATCATCAGACACTGTGAAGTGCCCCTAATAAAAATAACTGAAAAGCCCTTTCCTCAGTGATCTGAACTAATGAATCATAGGCTGGAGATAGCCTTCATTTTCAGATTATTAAAAAATAAATATTCTCTCTGCTTCTACTATTTTATTATTTTTCTTTTTTTCTCATTATGCCATCCCTGTAGAGCAAACCCAGCATTATTAATCCCATCACCATTAATGAACATTTCGGAAGGGGAAATGTGACGGTGTTACAGTAACCAAATCTACTTTAAAAAATGTTTCCATTATTTTCTCCTGGCAAAATCTTGGTTTCCTGGAAGCCATTGTGATTAATGGTTGCATCTAATAGCCTAAAAGCTTTAGAAAATAAACGTCAAGGTGCCAGAACAAAAGGGAGACGCTCAGTATTTTTCCACTGGCTAGAATCAACGTACGTTCACCAGCTGAACATTCTCAGGGGGTGGGTTAGGATGGTGCGGCCCGTTCGCTATGTTCACCATGTTGTTCCGTTCAGACCGAAGACTCTGCCGAAGCCTGTCATGAAGCTTTTTCCGCTGTTTCCTACACACGATACATGAGAAAGAGGGCGTTTATTTCTTCTATTACTTACATTTCTTGGTAGAGCCAAAGTTTTCTTCTACTAATGCCTGAGTAACTCGAAACAGTAGACTGGTAGTGAGGAAGAGGTCGGGGAACATGTGCTACTGTATCTCACAGTAGCGATTTAGATTTAGAAAGTTGGATGGAATTCTTATAGAAATTCAGCTATTTTGCTGAGGGTCAAGAAAGAAGGAGTAGAAAATAAATGTGCTGGTACTTGCCTAAGATCCAAACTTTCTTAATCAAGCCACTTTTGCCTAAGTCTGACAAACGGCCAACTGCCTTAGTAACACTTTGCACCTAAGAATTCATAAGGCTCATTCCATTCATAGTTTCTTGTTTCCTGTGATCTCTTAAGCAAATAAGCTTAGCTTTGAATTTGGAATTTATACACAGTCAGGACGTATATAAATATCACATGTATATGCGTGAGATTATAGACATATTTTGCCGTTGGATTTTGGCACAACTGTGACATGATCCTACTCTTGAAAATTTTTTGTAAAAGGAGGCAGTAAGTGCTAAGATTGAAGTGAGTAAAACTTAGGAGAGTCAATCCCTTGAAGGCTTACTCCTATCCCTTTCTCAATGCATGCTTAATCATGGAGTAATGAGAAAATACAACCATGTCTTTGATTTTGTGGTATAACAGTGTATTTCTTTTATCCCTCAATGCCACATTCAGATTATGAAGATAATTATGCCTGAACCATGACCAGTTATGGCAAGACAGTACTATGCTATAAAATGAATAACCTCTTGCTCACTAGACAGTGCAGATTGAAGTGGAGGAAAGCGGACCGACAGTAAATGCACCTGTTGATGTAGACCAACCTTAAAGTATCAATCAGTGATCACACATCTATTTTAAAGTTTTCTCTTCAGTTTTTTCAAAGTAAGTTTTGCTTGATTTTCCTCCCAAGAGGTTCTTTTACACACTACACATTTTGAGAGCATTTGTGCTGGCAATCTAATGAAACCACTCCAACGTTCTGAAAACTGCATTTTAAATACTATGTGTTTCTTTTATCTCCTGTCGGTCCTTGCAAATTGGACTCCACCTTCGCAGTCCTGTGCCAAGCACACCTTTAGTACCTATACTCTGCCGCCGGTTTTTTGTGGTACTAGGCATTAAATTTAATGCCTCACATGTGCTTGGCAAGTGCTCTACCACTGAGCTACAGGCCTAGCCCCACATTGTCCTCTTACTGTGCGGTGCCAGTGTGCGCTCCTGGGTTTCCATAGAAGCCCATAGCTCCAAACCTTTATCCATGCACAGGAGCCTGGGTACTTATCAGAAATCTCTTGAGCACTTTTCCACAAATAGACAGAGTTTTCTAATGTATGTGATTGGGAAAGGCCCTCAAAATGTATTATTTACAGGGAAAAGTAAGGGGGAAAGCCCTTCCACTGTTTTCTCTGCATCCTTGGGTGTGGGGTCTAGTGGCCATGCCCTGGCCACCTAAGGCATTGCTACACTAACTAGGAGAAAGGAATGGAGAAGGAAGGTTTACTTGGTTTTGCAGTAGGCCACCACACACATGATGCCGACCACCAGCAGTGCGATGCAGATGCCACTTATGGTCAGCACTCTCTTCTGGTAGAGCTCCTCTGCTTCTGAAAAGGGGTGAGAGCAGATGTCATGAAGGTCACTTATAGTGCCAGGGCTTGCTACATCTGAACAGTTGGCATGCTGAATGACATTGTCCATGTTCACAAGAAAATAAATATGTAATAACTCTTTACACTTACAGACATATACAAGGTACAACATGCTGTGTGCTGTACTTTGCACACTAGTAATAAAGCCAGCTTGGGTTACTGACAATAAAACATACTCTACAATTACTCTAATATTAAGTGATATGTATATATATATGATATTAAACTGAAAAATCATAAACATTAATTATAAAGTATGATTTGGTTAAAACTTCAGATTTTTAAAAAATCTCTTGGAAAATTTTTTTTTAAAATAAAAACAAAACTCTTGCAAAGACAACAGGAATGCATAGCAATAAAAGAAGCTAGAATTAGTACAATTAAGACCCTCCCTTCTTCCCTTCCCCACCTGCACCCCCAGCCTTTTCGTATTTTTTCAGGTAAATCATGTCATTACTTAACATCCAGTGGTCTTTACAAAGAGTCATTTGTAGCTTTAAAAAATTAAATTTAAACACATTTGCAAACATGAACTTGGCTTGTAGTTAGCAAGTAAATTGAAGTAAGATCCGTATGATTTATCAGTAAAATGTGAAACACAAGAAGCAACACAGTAGGCATAGCAAGGCACTGTATCCGAGAAAATCCAATATGATTTGTTAGGGTAGTCTTGGGCCAAAACGAAGATGTGTTCTTTAGAGGGCAATGCTTATTATTTCATCAGTTGAATTTACAGAACTAACTTGTATAGAGAAGTCAGTCACTAGCACAGTGATGTATAAATTGGAACAGACTTCAGATCCCCACATTGGTCAAAGTAGCTAACAGACATTCTCCTAAGTACAATGCTTAGAACTTTGAACTAAAGGTACTACTGTACTCAAAATATAATCAACCTCTCATTCATAGAAAAGTTTCTGTTTTCATATTAGCTTTCTTGGGAGATAATATGATTATACCAAGGCAGGACAACTTCTCAACAAGATTTTCTGATTTAATGGAGACTTTGATCACTTAGGAGCTGAACTTCCAATAGTCTAAATACATTTATTGGAAGAGCTTCACAAGCTCACTCAGAATGGGAACTCAACCAGCACACAGTAAGCAGTATAAACTGTTTACTTACCATTATGATTAAGCTGGTCAAGAATTGGGGGATCATGGTACAAATGGAGCTGTCTTATCTGGACTTCAACAAGAGACCCTCAAAAATATTTCCATTATACATTCACAATCTCACGAACTATACCTTCTTCTCCATTGAGAGAGGACAAGTCACAGGAAGTTTTGTGAAATGAAAAAGTGGATTTTAATTTCTAGGATACAGTGGACCTTATTATTAAACAGAACATATCCTACAAGCCAAGCCCACGATAATCAAATCCCAGTTAACAGGTCAAGAACATTGTCAAATCAAAGTAACAGAGCACTGATTATTAACAGGAGGAGAAGGAGAAGAGAAGTCAGTGGGTATAATACTAGAATGCTGCACAGATTATACAAAAACAAACTGAAAAGGTTGGAAGTGGAAAGGAGAAACAAACCAAGAGGACAGACAGACTGACAGAATGACAGAGAGCAAGGGAAAATAAGGTTAAAAGTTGGGGAGCCATCTGAAGTCCCTGGCACAGCATGCCTGATACTAAGGGAGGAAGAACAACTAAAGAAAAGAAAACCAGAGGGAGGAGATGCTTGGGGGTGGGTTGGGGGACACAGGTGGAAGGGTTTTCCCATACAGCATAACTTCTACCCTGGGCTGGCAGTCGTGTGGAAGCCACAATTAGAAAGCAAAGCAGCTGGTGCAATGCGGAGCAACAATGTACCGGGAGGCAGAGAGTTGGTGTCACAAAGTCAAACAAGGACATGGAATGCGAGTGCCTGTGTGTTAATTGCTCGTGTCTGCTGCTTTCCCTCCCTCCGAGTCCTACCCTTTCGATAGGGTGTCATCTATGAGCTGATACCACTGTGGCCTCCCTTCCTGACCTTGGCATCTCCATCAGTTTTCATCTTAAGCCTAAACTTCAGCAGCAGAGGCATTGCCCTCGCTGGTCCTTCTACAGGGGACCCAGAACAGAGCTGGGATGGCTGGTTAAGAAGAGGTTCGGTACTGGCAAAACAGAGGGTGGCCCTGCTTTCTATCTTCACTTTTCAGTTACTTTACTTTTTTTTTAAATGGTAAACTCAGGGCTGGAGTTGTAGCTAAGTAGTAGTAAAGTGCTTGACTAACATATATGGAGGTTTGGTTTTGATCTCCAGCACGAGAGAGAGAGAGAGAGAGAGAGAGAGAGAGAGAGAGAGAGAGACAGAGACAGAGACAGAGACAGAGACACAGAGAGAGACAGAGAGAGAGAGGAGTGAGAGAAGGAGAGAGATTGGGAGCCTTAGTTGTAATTTGTCACTGACATTCTGCCTTTAGAAAAAGCTGGGAGACTGCTGTGGCAAACTGCAAAACTACGGCATGTACAAGGGCTGGATGGGCAAGGGGTGGAATCCTGCACAGCATCAGGAATTCTTTAGACCAGGGTTCTGTTTGGGTTGTTAACTATGAAAGGAGAGGCCGAGTTGGGCTTGTACATAAATGGTGTAGAACAACTGGCCCCGTCTTCCCATGTTGTGTAGACACATGTTTTTCAGTCAAATGATTACTCTCTGGAAATAAGGTAGCTCAATAATGGACAAATGTAAAAGTACTGAAGTGAATCAATTAAAGGGAAGACCCACAGAATACAGAAAAGGAATTAAATTCTGTATTCCTTCCAGCATAACTAAGCAGAACACTTTTCTTATGGGTTTGCTAGATCAGGTGACACCACAGTATGAATGTACTAGAGGAAAAATACTTGAAAGTAACAAAAAATAATGAGTTCTTTTATCTCAAGTTTATTTCCTTGTGTGGCAGGGCCCATAGCATTGAGCAAATAAGAGATGCTGCTATCAATTAAGACTCAGTCAGTCCAAATGGGTGGATCTGTCTCCATGAGTGGAAATGCTCCTGAGGTTTTAAGGTTTGTCTGGACACACTGTAGTAAATCAAATCAGGCACATTTTCAGTCTGATGTGTCCAAGCCAAAAGATGGAACCCTTTCTTTCTCCATTTTATTGACCTTTCAGGTGAGATTTTCTTTAAGGATGTAGTACATTTGTTCCGTATGCTGTGGAGCCTTTGTAACATATGTGAACAGATATCAGCACATTGCCTTTCCTAATCCTTAGGAGAATTTCTTGAGGGAGAAGTTATATATCCCAACTATTTGAGCTCATTATTTGGCAACACAAACACTATTCTATAGTCTGACCCTTAAATTATGTCATGAGATATATCCTATTAGTGATAAAGGGTAGGAGTAATGGTGGAACTTTTTCTTCCCTGAAGGAAAGGTCAATATTGTCAGCATTTCAGAAGTGGGACAGTTTTTATCAGAAGGGTAAAAGCCCTAAGAGTGATAACTGAAAGATGCTCTGAAGACCCATTCCAGAGCTGCACACAGCGCTCAGAAAGACAGGTAGGCCCAACACTGTGGAGGCCACGGGTGGTATCAGAGTGTCCTGCTCCCTCTGGGACTGGACTTTTGCTCAGCCACTTAGGATGAAGGCTTTCAGGAATATACCCAAATTTCAACTGCTCCTAGGATGTATTTTTTAAAAATGTTTGTGGTGTGAAATTTTCTATTTGATTACTTGTCTGGGTAATGTTAGTGACTCAAACTTAATTC